TTCAAGAAATATACCATGGAAAATTTTAACTAGAACACTACAAATCACTGAAGCATCCATTACCCAGAATTACAACTCTTTTACATTAGGTACTAACAATCCTCAAATGTTTGAGATTTGAGTGATCTAGATTATATTTCTCTGATCTGAGGTGGGGGTTGGTCTCTTCTGCCAAGTAACTAGCGATAGGACGAGAGGAAATGGCCTCAAGTTGCGCCAGGGGAGGTTTAGACTGGACATTAGGAAAAACTTCTTTACTGAAAGAGTGGTCAGGCCTTGGAACAGGCTGCCCAGGGAAGTGGTGGAGTCGCCATCCCTGGAAGTATTTAAAAGACGTGTAGATGAGGCGCTTAGGGACATGGTTTAGTGGGCATGGTGGTGTTGGGTTGACGGTTGGACTTGATGATCTCAGAGGTCTTTTCCAACCTTAATGATTCCATGATTCTATGATCTCTAGCTGGAGATTTAACATTTATCCCTTAAGCAAAGGTGCCTTTTAACATGCTTTATGCTTCTAATCCGGAACAGTTTTCTTTAATTAAATCTGTCACTACCACACTTCTAACTTAAAAAAATGTGATCTTTACCACTAGCATATGTTTTTTGCTTCATTATGCATTGTTTTGTCTTCATATGAGTAACCCACTGCCCTCATGTCTATTAGCTACCTGAAGCACTTTCCTAACCTTTACATAATGACTTCCTGCTTGATTTCCCAAGACTGATACATGAAAATGAACTAATACAAAAAGACCATACAAGTCTAAAATGCACTCAATTTGGCCCTGATTCAGCTGAGAACTTCAGCATATTCTTACCTTGTACCAAGTTTCAATGCCAGTTGTGCCGCACTAGAAGCATTTGCTTTCAGCTGCAAACAGGTCCTGAAAAAAGGTCCTACACCCCCATTTCTTTCCTTGAATCTCTTTGAATGTGACAAAAAAGGTACTTGCAGCATGATTTAGATTTTATTTTTTTTATTTCTTTTAGTTTCACATGACTATGTTAGCTAACAGACCACATAAACCTCTTTCAGTATTTTTCTCAATAACTACATGAGGAGCTCTCTGACAGTGCAGGAATCCCTGAACAGTTGTTATCCACTGCAGAACTGACACTTGCCTTATGTAAATTCTTCTTTGATTATCGTTTTTCAACAGTGTACTACTGTAGCCATTCAGCTCATAAAGCTACTCACCGTAAGAGTCATATGTTTCCTCACTCAGTCCGTGACCATAGTCATAGTAATCTGCTCCACTGTCCAGGAGGAGGGAAATAGGAAGAAGAAAGAGAAAAAGAAACAAAGCAGTTACATTTTAAGAAGCAATGCTTATCATTACACATTATATCTTTGAAAAGAAGAAAGCTTGAAGGATGTAGACATGCCCTAAGGTAAGAAAGGTAAGCATTCATGTGACACAATGACAGCTTAGGTCCTGTTTGTTCATTAATAAGAAAATAAAATAAACCCTATTTACGTCCATTTAGGATTTTTTCATCACTGAGCCCCTGCTCCACCATGTTAAATGTGGATGTGGGAATTTTGTATTTATAATTATACTTATAGATGGGAAGGTTGAAGATCTTATGAGACCCAATGAAAGAAGAGTAGGAGGTGTAGGTACTGAACCCAATTCCTTTGTCTTATAAACTGCTTTTCATTGCCTACTGTTGCCTAGTAAAGTTTTGTCTTTGCATCTTTAAATTCACTGATAAAAATGCAATAAAGGACAAGCAATTTCCTGCTTAGGGCGTTATTTAGTTTCTATACATGTATAGGTTCCAGTGTCTTCAAACCAAGATAAATGTACACATATGCAAACGCTCTCATTTTAATAGGCAGACAAGAAACAACAACAGGAACTTTAAAGTTAAAAGTAGAAATCTGAAGTCATTAGGATTCCAAAGTATGTATGAATACCATAACCATAGCCTAAACCAGTCTTCCATTTCATAATGGCATTTTTATTTGTATTAAGACCACTGAATGGAAACTGAAGGACAAGCCTTATTACATACTATTTTTCCATTATGCTTTCATATTTCACATAAGTATAGCTATGTATAGTCTTTTATATAATTGACAGAACAAAAGTCTATTGACATGTTTGTAGGACATCAAAAGCAAGTCTCAATTGTTTCTTTCCTTTTCTTTCTAACCACAGCCAGACCCAGGGCTGATGATATTTGGAAAATACAAACTGATGCTACCAAGTCATTACCTTCTGAGTGAGAAGGAAATCACTGTAATATATGATAACTAGCAAGTAATTACTAATATTGACAAAATGTTTCTAACATTAGATTGCTAACAAAATAAAAATCAGAGAAAAAAGGCAATTTATAGCCTTAACATGAATTAGCAGGTAAGGCATTTATATAAAACAAATAACACATCACAATTACTTCTAAACTGACACGAGACAAAGATAATTTGCTGTGTTTGGGTTCTTTGTGTTGGGCGGGGGGCGGTTTTGCAACTAAAGTTTTAAATACCACAAAATAATACAGGCCAGAAATAATACAAGTCTGGTGTGTGCAAATGCATATCTAGAAAGTGTGGATGAGTATCTGTTATTGCTAGTATAAGGCTTCCTTAACAAAAACTTAACCAGAATTCACTATGAAGACCCACAAAAAAAGTATCTGTAAACAACCTAAATGTTATCTACGGTTTGTCAGTCCATGTGATGAGGACCCCAGAATAACAAGGGCAAAGTTTGAAGCATAAGAAATAACATAATTTTGCCCTGCAGCAGTCAGTGATAAAACAGCCTTTAATCTGACAACCAACTTAAAACTGACATTCAACTACCCTTCCACATAGTACTTGATTATTTATTTTAAGGCTGTCATCAAGTTTAGAAGCCTATAGCAGCTGAGCCCTATCCCCATATCTGCCAATCCTGTCAGAATGACTTTCGCAGGGTTTTATTTCATAGACCTAAAGTACCTATTAAACAAAAAATGACTCATTTTACAGGGTATAAACTGCAAAACGAATAAACATCAGAAAGGAAAAATCTTTTATTTATACTGAAAATATATCATGACCCATCAAAATTAATAATCTTTCTAAAAAGTACAAGTTATAATGTGAAGTAATGTTGCCTAGTGCAATTCAATACACTCTGAGCACTTTCATTTGTGCTCTATGAACAATGCCAACGCTCTCTCAATTCAACTGTATGTTAAACAAATGCAAAACTTCAGATAAGACAACTTAAAGACTATGATCCAAAGAAAAGGGTAGAGACAACTGTAAGGAGTTCTGGGTAAAAAAACATTTAAAAGATATTTTTTTTTTTGTTTCAGCTGTAACAAAATAGCCCATGGAGTTCACAGCCAAAACCAAGGTATCTCAGCTTTTTTGGAGGAATTACAGTGCTGTATATGAAGTTACAGCTTACAGAACTGTATTTTCTTCAAACCAACCACCTGCTAAAAGGAAACTTAGTCAAAGGAACCTGCAATATCAAACTTCTTTGTAAATTGTACCTTTGAACTCATTAACTGAGACAGTGGAGGTAAATTCTATTGTGAGTAATTAAGTAGCTATATTAAATAAATCTTCCTCTGGACAGCAGGTATGATGTCAATTTTTGTTTTAAAAGCATCCTTGACATTTATATTTTTTTAATATGTGTTCTCTGGCATCTCAGCATTCTGACTGAAGACTATTCAAACTCTGTATTTCCCTTTAATCGATTTATTCTGGCAGGAAAACCCTCTTCTTCCTATTCCTTTCATTTCCTCTCAGAGAAAGGAGAGCAAAAACACAAAACAGGTTCTTTACCTCATGTGCCTCCCTTTACCTTTCAGAACAAGGTAAAAAACATACCATGGATCCCTTCCTTTTTAACCCAGCAAGACTAAACCTCGAGTCTGCTTTGAGTTCGTATGTTTTAAGATGTGAAATGTCTTCTTGAGGCCATTTTCTTCAATTTTCTTTTCCTAATTTTTCCTTTCTTAATTTTTCCTTACTTCTCCAGTTGCCTGCAAATAGTTTCTCCCTAGCAGCAGATGAGGGCAGTACCTGAAAGTTCTGTGGTGTCTACTTTGTAGATGGATAATTGCATTAAGTGGTATAGTCAGGCGAGTTTTCAAGCATTTTCCTAATCATAAAGTAAACAGTATAAGTGCAATCAACACTGGAGTATCAGATGTGAATCAGATCTTGTACATATAGAGCCCTTGCTTATATCTACTCATATTTATTCCCATTCCAGCACAAAGTCTTTGGGCTGACAAGAGAGAAGACAGATGGCAAAGAAATAAATGCTTTGATTTTTCCATGTCAACATAAAAACCTGGAACCACCTAATGGTATGGAAGGATTAGCAAACAACAATAAACTTAAGTATGTCACTTCTAATTGCTGAGGGCTGGGCATTAATCCTACAATGCTTAGAGGAAGTGTGAAGTGAGGCTTAAGTAGTTTAAATAAGGCCAGGGGGAAGTGCCTGTTTTCTCTGTTCAAGAAACAGCCTGAGATAGAGAAGAGCAACCTCAGATTTTAGCACTGCATCACTAATGAAGTAAAGCCTTAGAGGAGCTTTTTTATCTAGTAAAACAGAGGACTGGAAAGCTTCCTGCCATTTTTTCTAGAACCACTGTGCTATGAGAAATGTCTTAAAATACTTTAATTTAGAGGTATTCATAAACCTTCAAAGGCCTTGTGGAATATGACCTGAATTTCTCAGGCTTTTCTGCTAAGCTGATTGTTTCTGAAAGTATCTTGATGAACCATAATAGAAGAACAAGTCTTTATGAAAAAACCAAATAGCAGTAACTGCTTTTAACATGATGGTTAAGTCTTAAGGAACTCTTACCTTTTATACTGTATTAACTATTAGCTTATTCTGTCTAGAGATGCTGGAATATCCTCTTGGGACAGATATCAACAGAATGGTAGGGTTTCAACCTAACACTCATGAAGATAATCAGAATAGGTCATTAGAGGCTATTTTTGGGACAATCCTAGAACAGGCATGTCAACCACAGAGTGCAAGTGTTCTACAGTGTTTCCAAAAAATGCATAAAGGTAGTCAAAATACATCGTGATAAATGAATGTGATTGCCACGGCTCTTTAGATTTGATACAGGCATCTTTTAGAATCAGCATTATGCCATTTCTTGTTTGAAACAAAAGTAGTATGGCAGGCAGCCTGATTGCTAAGGGGAAGGTAAAAGGTCTCTGGTTGAAAGCTTCTAGTTTACTGGAAAAGCCCAGGCTTAAGCACACAAGCCTAGTTACTGGGTTTAAGCACTGAGTGAACGAAAACCTTCTTCCCCTTCAGTGATGAAAAACAGCTTTTGCAACCAGTTCAGCTTCTAGTAATGCTTACTAGGGAAAAATGGGAAAAAAAATCTGCTTTTTCTTTTGCACATTGGTATTACAAGTAACTTTGGGACTGATCCCTTTAAACAGAAGCCAGGGCAGTTTCAGAAAGTGAGAAAAAAAAACCTTTGAAACAAACAGTTCCTGTTCTGCCAAGTAGCTCCACGTATCACCTTTGTCCTTCTACACAGAGGTTGCACAGAACAGCGAAGTAGAAAGAACAAATGAGGATCTCTCTAGCAAGAGGTCTTATATGATAGATCCTGACTAATATGATCACATCTGAACAGAACTTTTCCACAAGGACAAGCCTCTTTTTATCATTCCTACCAGATCTTCACACTCAGCTGCTTCTTGTATCAAAAAGCATCTGTCACCAGTAAACAGGAAGAAGTGTGTCCCAAATGTTATTGTCAAGACAATAATCACTGTAGTGAAGCTTCTCGTATCTCCATAATTGTCTTGAACATTGAGTGGAGTATCTCTTCTTAATGCTTCTGTGGATCAGAAGCATTACCCTGCTTACAGCAGGATAGCATAAAACCGGGATATCAAGAGGAGATCCACATCTTTTCTTGCACCTTGCGGAAGAATTTTTATTTAATGTCCAGTTCTGCCACTTCTTAGCAGAAGTTTCTTTGGTACATACTCTCATCCCTGCATCTCAGTTTATGTCTGTAAAACAGGTAACGATCTCAGAAAGCAACTGAGACCTATATGTGAAAGCTTTATTACATACAGAGAAATGATGCAATCTTCCTTAAATTATATCCTATTGTACTCTCATATGGATAATACAAATAGCAAATCTATTTCCTATAATCTTAAAAGATGACCAGAGTGCCCCCTCAAGGATTCCCTTAGCTATCACTATTTAGAAATCACTTTTTATGGCAGAAATTGTAGTAAATTTCAC